CATTGGAGAACCTTCCCAGAAGGGAAGCAGTGAGGTCTCTTGTGCTTATAGGAAAGTGCTTGTACACTCACTTGATTTAAGAGTGCAAATATGTAACCCTTTGATCAAAACTACCTTCAAGCAGTAACACCATTTGAACATATTTTACGTTTCTTGGAAAAATCAGTGATCTCTCTCTTGGCAACTGTTGGCTCCTGAAAGCTTGGCATTGTGATCTACTATAGCTGGCTTGCTATCACCTCTGCAACACAATATTCAGTGAGCCCAGCAAAAATATGAGGGTGAGGAAAAAAACTCAGTGTTCCATTTTGGATTCACGATTTCTGTCTAAAGAAAACCTTTTTTCTTTACTTTTATCTTAAAAATAAAAAAAATGGCCAGAGGATCCTTCCCAGAGTAACTGATAAACTTCTGAAAAGTGGTGCAGTACTAGATCCCACCACTTGAGGTGGATTTATGGATTAATCCTTGACTGAATTCTGTTATGGCCAATGTATCAACATCGTATTTTTTCAAGTGAATTTCAGGGGAAATTCTAAACTTCCTATATTGATTAATAGACACAAGTGAACTAAGCTATGTTTCTTCATATTAATTTCTTTGACTGTTGCAATACCAGAATAAATTATGTCCTATAAATATTATCTAACAAAAAGAGTGAGAACACTTAGGGCAAGGATAGGTATAAATTTTCAGATTTCTGCTTTAAATTTTGCCTGCTTTGAATGAGTTAATTTAATCTGAGCAGCAGAGTAATGACTTAAGATGTCATAAATCTATCTTTAGTGCATCACTTGTAAGTCAGAAAATGTGCTTATGTGATCTGAGAGTTAAAATTCTTTTCTTTTTCTTCTTTTTTAGAGCACAGCTGTCCAAGCCTAGGCAGTGTAATTCAATACAACACAGCATATTTTGTCCTGGCTTATTAGCACAAATTTGTAATGGCTGTTTTGGAAAATGTGCTATGAATTTATCTGAAGGTCTTCATGATGGAATAGTTAATTCAACCTTACAAATCCTTGGCACTTAACTTTCATCTTTTTAGAACAAAACACAGAGCCTGTGATTTGATGCCTGAAGTCAGCAAAACAAAATGGTACTTTAACAGCAGCATTTACTTTGATCAGTTTTCAGCATTTGTGTCCTTGCCTTTGACGAAGTACAAATTGCTTTAGCAGAGTAACGGGGCAGGAGCCCGTAGACTGTTTTTGTAGTTGGTTTCTGTGGTGATACTCACCCTCCATGAAACTGCGATCTCTGGGGACAGAAACCTCTGCAGCTGCCTTAACCTTGCAGCTGCTGGAGACCTTAAAGGAACTCTGTGCAGCCAGCAGTGACCAGCGTGGGTACAGACAGGTACAGCTGGCTGAGTAATGCCAGCACAGATTTGATAGACAGGGCACCTCTGAATGGGGTAATGTTAAGACTTTTTTTTTTCCCCCAGTTTTTTTAACATGTATCAAAAAATGCATTCTAGCAAAAATGGCATAACTTCTTCATGTCCCAAATGAATTTGTAGGTTTTGTTTTGAGATTTTCAGGATCATTTTAATATATACTTTTCACCTGTGTCTAAATTGTTGTATTCCTCACAAGTTGGTCACGTATAATTTGGAGGAGTGTGTGCCAAAGGGGGACAAAAAAGGCAGACGTGAGTCTGGAAGAGGAGCTTCCTCTGACAAACAGCTGCTGAAGTTGAGCCTTGCTGAGAGGATCATTGCTGACACACATGTCCAGAAGGTCTGGCCTAACCATTGAGTGCATAATGAAAATGTTGACTGTGCAACAGCTCAGTGATCAAATGAACCCTTCATTGGGAATGAGGGATGTGTTGGACCACAGTGACTTGTTTTCCTGTACTGTTGTTGTGCTGCTGTCTGCTTGGTTCGTGTGCTGTCTCCTTAATATGTTTTTAAAATAACATGGGCAGAGCAATAGCAGCTGGTTTTTAAATGGACTAGGTGGCTAGATGACTACCTTTTCTTGAGGATCTGCACTTTTCAGGCAGAAATGTAGGAAAATTCCATTATGTGATATAACTTACCCTACAGTTTGAGCCAAAGGCATGGATAGATGTATCACCATTTCTGAATGTGGCTCAAACTTCATTATTTCTATGCATGTATGGAAATAATCATATATGTGTGTGTTGTATACGTATTTAATTTCGAAAACCTAAAGGAGTAGCAACTACAAAGTTTAATAGCTCCAGTTGCAGAAGAATCTCTGATTTTCTCACAAAGGTAGTGTGATTGCTCTGTATGCTCATTCATGTGACCAACCAACAGGAAGAAATCTTCATGAAGTCTAAAACATCTGTCTTGTCTGATAGATGCTGGCTTTGAATAAACGTGTCTGAGATCAGGTGAAACAGAGATACATCTCCATTTCCTTACTACCCAAAGTACTTGGCCTAGCTGTTTCTGAGATGGTGTTTTCAGAGTGTGTTACATTTAATGTATCATTCCTGCTTTTAATAAATTCCAGAGGGTTTAAATAGCAAGGGTTTTTTTAAGTTTCTAATAGGAGCCATTTCTTTGCATTGACTTGGCATTCTGACAGAAACACAACCAGGGTGCAAGTCCAGGGTGAGTGCTCCTGTTGGCCAGTGTACTGGTGGTTATTTAAGCTCATAAACTATACTATATAACTCATTTCATCAATATTTGCATTAGTCTTTGCTTCCTTTAGGATCAAAAGAAACCAGTTATCGTTGCACGTGAAAGTGTGTTGACTGCACTTTATGCCATTGGAAGCTGAAAAAAAATCAGAATAAAATCTGAACTCTTATTAGAAAGATATAAGGACCACAAAAGATATAGCTGGGCGACTTTGGCAAACTGAGATTACAGTATTTTTATTGCTTTGTAAGAAAACATAAATCCAGAACAAGGTAATTATATTTAATAGTTTAAACAGCTTATTAGTAATTAGCAGTGATTACAGCTAAAAACCCACAAGAATTAACAAAAGCTTTTTAATAGTTGTGAATTTAATAGCGGTTCTAAACACCTTTTCCTTTCTACTTTCACCTTGCCATTTCTAGACAGAACAACAAAGCAGGAACCTTGTAAAACAAGTAATTTCACTTTCTCTCTTATTTTCAGCGAACAGAATTCCTTTGGCTCTGTAGTTGATACTGTAAAGCAGTTTCTATAGCTAAAAACATGCCTGTTTGGCATTTTAAGTCTCTGTTCTCCCACTAGAATTGAGAGCACTAACACCCTCCAGTTTCCAAAAATGAGGTATTGTATTCTTTAGAGACAGAAAATGAAGAGAAATGTGGTTTGTGGTAATCTGTGGTACTTAGTGTTTTCTTTTGGAAATGCATAAATACCACTGGGTCTTCCGCTGGAGGGGCCAAGTGGTGACAAAGGTGGCAGTGGTGGGCAGAAGATGGCAGTGCCTGGCCTTGCTGCAGGCAGCACTGTCACTGCCCAGCTGCTCATGGGGAGAGGTGCTCGCTCTTTAAAGCAGCTTGGATTTAGTACAAATACGGATTTATTCAGTTTTCCAACAAATTTTAATCAGCTTTAGGAAGAGGAGGAGGACAGGGATGTCCTTGGTGCCCCAGAGGTGTGCCTGTGGGATTTGATATCTGTGCCACTGTGGGGACGAGCAACACGGTCAGTCACTCTGCAGATGTAAGGAACTGCTTTCTCATTGGCATGGGAGCACAGCCAGCTGTTTGCCAGCTATTTTGCAGGTTCTTGAGTAGTGGTCGCCTCCAGGTGTCTGTCAGACCTGAGACCAGGTCTTGGCGTTTGTCTCACAGTGATGGTGAACTTCTCAAGGGGGAATAAAGAAAATAAAAAAATAAAAAAAACCACCCTATCTTGTTCTTTTGGAAATATTTTCAGCAGTAATGGGTGCCTAATTTTCAGTTTGGTGGCTATCTTTCATCAGGTTAGTTTGCCAAATGAATCTGTGTTTAATGGTAAACAAATGTCTGCTTGCCATTATATAAGAATCATACAATAGACTGTTCACGGTCTCAGATCCCCTTTCAAATTCTTTGGCAGGATACAGAATTAATTCTGAATTACCTGTATGCTTACTTCTGTTTGCCACCACTCAAATTGGTGGTTGTGTTAGTGTTTGTTCCCTCTATCCCTTGTTCAGAAAGAACTGTGGTTGTCTGTCAGGGAATCTGCCTATCACCCATTATTGTGGGACATCAGCTTCTCTGCTCAGTCCATGGTAGATCATCTCTCCCTTGCACAGTAAATGTTACTTCCTGTAATGTGGGATGAACTATCAGGCTAAATAATCACTGCTTAAACAGCTTATTAGATGCTATAAAAACACTATGATATCAAGTGCAAGTTGAGCAAGCTGAGAAGGAGGGGCTTCCAGCAATCACAAACTGGTTGCTTCAAAGCCACCTGTAACAGGTTGCCTGACTTTTGTGATGTCCACTTTCTTTACCCTATGTATCCTTTTAGTCCCTGAAGACAGGCATTTTCCTTCCCTATTGTATGTTAAAATTTCTTTTGGAATTTCTTCCATAAACTAGTGTAGTGCTTCCTTGTGTTTCTGGATTCGTTCCTCCTGTTTTTTGTTTGTTTAGTTTTGTTTGTTTTGCAGGCTAGATTTATGCCCCTAATAGAATCAGCAGATAAGGTTTTGTATTCTAAGCCAGCTTTCTAGGCTACCATCTAGAAACCAGAAATCAGAGTTTGCTTTGCAGTTCTTTTTATCTCCTTGTTCTCCAACTCTCAGCTTAGTGGTTTGACCTTTTGCATAAGCTATTTTTCATCAGCATTTGCCAAGGTTTTCTTAAACACTTCACAGTGCTTTGCAAGCATAGAGCACAAACATTGACTATTTCGTATTTTATATTCTCTCTCCCCTGTTGACTGATTTTTGTGGAAGTAGATTAGTCTGTAATCTTGAGTCAAGAGGTCTGAATGCTAAAATTCATAATATATATAAAAATTACTTTTGATTCACTGTTTTGAATTCCAGGAAGTATTCACATATTTCTGTGTTTCTCTGTAGGTCACATTACATTTGAATCCAATTTCATCGGTGCATATTCACCAGAAGCCTTTGGTGTTTCTTCTCAACTCTCCTTTGCCTTTAGTGTGGAAGCTAAAAACAGAAAGACTGGCACCTGGAATCCGAAGAGTTTTCTTCGTAAGTATACACAGCCCTCTGGCCTGCTCTCTGTCATAGCTACTTGTCACACAAAACATGGAGTTAATGGCATTCATTTGGAAGTTTTTCAAACTTACATTAAAAAAACAAGTTAACAGTAGATCAAGTTTCATTGTAGGGCTCTGGGGAACAGTTAGGTGGTAGGGCAAAGCAGTTTGGGAAAAGTAGCCAATTACTTGTTATGTGAATTCAAGGAAAAGAAAGCAAAACTCCTTTTTCAGGATCTGCACATCGTGTGGTTAATATTAACAGCCATTTTAGTTCTAAAGCTGTGAGGTTCCAAGATTGCCAGTCCTGAGTGGAAATCTAATAGTACCATAATGCAAAAAGCTTCAAAGCAACAAGAAATATTAAGGGTGGATGCTAGTTGTGTGGTCTGTGACCAAAACAAAACTTTGTATGTATTGAGCTCAATATGTACAGTTACAGCTTATGTCTCTGATGGAGTTTGGTCTGTTGAAATGACCAAGTTAAGCCCAGAATGAAATCATTTTTATTTCTCAGAAAGACTGGAGCACTGCTTATAATCTAAGATCCAAATATTACCTAGTATTTGTAAATCATGTCCTTACAGTTTGCCAGGACATTCAAGTTTGCTATTTGTAGTGAAACAGACAAGTTGTTTGGATTAAATTTTTAATGTGTGACATCATGTCTAATCAGGAGTCGTCTTTATGAAAGTTGCAGCTTTTACTATATTCAACTCTAATTGCAGAACTAAACTTGATTATTTTTAGCTGTATCCTTATAGGGCTTAATTTTTCTCCTCCAGCACAGCTGACAGTGGTAGGCAAGACCGTTTCTGCAGTACCAAATGAGAACTTAATGGTGTCACTGTGCGTCAGCAGGACAGGAAGATGGGCAGTGCTGCAGCACTAGAACACGGGGAAGGAGCACTGCTCTCTGTCACTATGGTGGTGCTGCTGTTAAGTGCACCAAGAGTTCTATGGCTTGCTGGATACCATAAGCTTTCTGGGATTGTTTTTCTTTTTCCTGTGATCAAGGTACAAGAGAAGGAGTACCCTTGATATTTTGAACTTTGAAGGACTCTGTTCTGTTTCCAGTACGGTTTGTTACTGATCGGTGCAAAGAACATGGGCTTGTTTGTACTCTAAAGTATTCACAATCTTAGGCTTTTCATTACTGTTTTGGAGACACTTCACTGTTATCTTCTTGTTGACCATTCCTGTTACATGTCCTTCATGCAACAAGTACAGTTCAGGTCTGCTAAGGAAACAGCTGAGGAACAGCATCCTGAACAACAGTGCAGTAAGAGTCTTCATTCCTCTCCTCACCAAAAGAAACAGCATCTTTCATCAGTTAATAAAATCTTGGACCTACTTTCAGTTTAATTTTGATCTTCTCTTACAGTTACTACATCATCACTCCCATTTCATATCAACTAGCTTGTGTTCAGCTAGTTTGTGTTCTTCCTCCTCAGCCAGGATTTTCCTTCTCCCCTGCCTTGCTCTGGGGTTGGAAAGGTGCTCTGCTGAGAGCCATCTGTTTTCACTCGGTGGACTGTGCAGGTGATCAGACTGATCATGCTGAGCTTGCTTGGTTTGGCTCAACAGGGCTTCAGCAGCTTGCATTAAGGCATAGGAACAATAGGAATGTCCCTAAGGCTTTGACTGCCAAAACTGTACCAGTAGATAAATGTTTTCTTCAGAAAACTGTTTCAGGCTCTTCTGGTTACAAAACCAAGCTTGAAAATGTGAGCAGCAGCCCTCAGAATTCATGGCAAACCAAGTTGTTTGACCTCAAGAATTGCCACAGTAAACTTGGCCACTGATGGTACAGGAAGGAGTGGACTGTTTCTGAGGTGGGACAGGACCTGGTAGGTGCCACAGGTTTGCTGCCACGTTGGTGGTACTCAAATTCCTCCTCTCAGTACTCTGTCTTAGTCTCTGCTGGTCATCGTAAGGGCTGAAAGTTGTGGTGCCTGATGCCATCCTGCCAGCATGCAGCAGTGGCACTGGGATAATGCTGCTGAGCAGATACAGGAGTTGCAAGGAATTAACCAACTCTCAGTGTTGACTCATCCCTAATCACATGTAAACATCTGAATAGCTCTCCATAACCATTTTGGATCTCCTTAAGTGCCATATGATTTATGCGTTTTTCCTTCCACCATGTTAAGGTTTCTATTTTTCTTTCCTATAAAGAGGCTGAAGAGTCAGATTGCAGGATGACAGGGTACTGATCCACCATTACTCCTCCCAGTTTAGTCCCTGTGGTCCCTCTCCCTCCAAAACTATATTCTCTGTGTTTTCTCTCTAAGGCAATAATTTTTCTGCAAACAGAAGCTAACTTCAGTCTCTTAAAAGGGACTCATCAGCCTTCCCACTATTCCTGACCTAGTTTTTGAGTAGGTAGGGCAGCTTGGGATGGTAAGCCGTGAGGGTTACCGGCTGAATAACTGTGTGATCATCATCTGTTGCTTTTCCACAATTCCACCCTGCTCACAAGGACAAATGCATTGATTTCCCAAAAGCTTTCTGAAGAAAGAGCATAGAATCACACAGAAAACGTGGGAAATGCTGAGGAAGCCCTAGTAGCACCTGTAGGCGAGTGCAGTATGCCAAGTAGAAATCAAAGGGCTCTGTTTTTCCACGGAGTTGTTTCCCTGTGTTGTGCCATGACTGTTTGCAATCCCTGGGACTGCCTCTGTGCTAGAAAAGCTTTTTGCTTTACTGTTTCAAGGGGTCTTGTTTCAGTTGAGCTGTGGGACAAGGGGACATTCTGCTTCTACTTTAGTGGCAGATAGGCTCCCTGCCTCTGTGCCAGAGCCTTCAGTAAGTTCCAAAGAACTGAGCCTGGAGGATAAATAGCAGATCCAAGGGCTGCAGGGTGCAGATCACGCTTTCTTAGCCCTTGTTTAAAACTACTTGGCTCTGTCTTGTTCATTCTCCTTAGGTATATAGCCAAACCAGAAAACAGGAGTATTTTGAATCATAAAAGATTTCAAATTGGAAAAACCTTTTCTAATGCCCGTGAATTCTGTGCTCAAAGCAGAAATCTGTGGCACACATACCATGGGAGTGTCATAACTATTGTGTCTGTCTCTATGGAAGCCTCGGGCAGGATATTCTTTGACTTTCCAGCTTTTCCATCAGACTTTCCAAACAATACATTCATTCACAATTTTATTAATATACTGTATGTAAAATATGAATTAAATCTGTTTCACTGATTGAACCCTAGTTAGAAAGGCAAGTACTGTTTTAAATGACAACTTCTGCGACTTGCTGCTGATAAAGACCACACTACTAGAGCCAGGTCAAAGTTTGTAGTTAAATAGATCATGTAACTATTAGTGAAGTCATAGCTCTTTATTTCTCTTTAATACTAGCTATTTTTTCCTTGTAAAGCATCATAATAAAGTTCTTAAACTGTTCCAGGAAGATGTGTTTTGAATAATTAGCTAATAAATATTACAAATTACTTGTATTAAAAATTCAAAGGTTCCTTCTAAAAAAGAAGATAACTCCAGGGTATGAGCAGATAGTGAACTGGAGCACTCTGAAGTGCTGTTGGTACCATTGTACTGGTGGGGAAACTACGGCACACTGAGCCTGAAGGATGACTGTATTGGAACTTAGGGCTGTGTCCCCATGTCCTCATAAGGGGGATGATCTGCTGCCTTTGCTCTGTGAATTCATTGAGTTTCCACTAAACCTAAGATGCCCTAGATTGCTTTATTTAGGGGAAAGGATGAAAAGATTTAAAGCTTGTGTCAGCACGTATCCAAAAGACCAGGCAAATACAATACTACTGAGTTAGGCTGGAGTTTAACTTCTTATCATGCAGTTCAAGCTTGGGGTTTTGCTTTGGGCCTCGTCCTCCATCAGTTAAGAAGTTTAAAATGAACGTGGGAGAAAATCCAGCCTTTGGGTGTGTATGGTTATAATGCAGAGGGAAGAAGAAAATACCTTCTTGATAAACATTTTCAGTATAAACATGTAGATTTGGTATGTACACGTGACTTTGCACTTGTTTTTATCATGTAATGCACATAGTTCCTCTCAGCCCAGTGACTTGTCACATGCTTTATCTTCATGGAGACAGCTCATGGTTTCATTTTTACAAAATGTCCACTGGTGGTTAAGCCTCACAGTGGAATAAAATAACATTAAAATTAAGTAGCATACCCCAAACAAACCAAAGTATGTGTTTGGTTAGCATCAGGATTTTTTGAATGTCATGTTTTGAAGAGTTATTTCCAGAAGTATGGCACTGAATGGAAGCACAGTGATGCTCACAGAGTGACAGTGCTTTGGAGGAAGCCATCATGACAGGGCATGGGTGCTAAAGGAACTTGTTCTTTATGAGTTTCTTGCCTGTGTTGTCATTTTGCTTCTCAGGGTGCTTTCCTCATCTATAAATCAGAAAGAACACTAGTGAAGAGTCTTAAATAGAAATTTGGGCATCTTGAAAAAAGCTGACAAAAATTCCTCTGTGTGTGTGTGAGAGAGAGAGAAAAGCATGTATGGTGACTGGTGTGGTGTTAGCAGTATATTTGGCATGGGCAGGGTTATTTTCAGACTATGCATGACTTGTTCATATATTGACAGTTGAAGAAGTTGCTGGGAAATTATTGTAACTTTAGTAAAGTAAGTCTTGAGTTTATTCTCATCGTGTTAAAAATAAATAATAATAATGGCCAGTCTTCGCGAGCGAAGATCCGGGGAAGGTCTTTACACCTTCCAGCCTGCGCATTGGATTTTTTAGGTGAGACACAGTGTGCGCGGAACTGAGCCCACCCTTTAATCCTAAGGTTCATCTGCCGGGGCCAAGCGAGCTTGGACGGTGGCAGCGAGGTCCTTAGGACGTAGGTGGGTTGCCTTTAAGGGCTAACGAGCCCCACCTGCCCGGGAGTGGCCCTGACCGGGAATCGAACCCGGGTCTCCGCGGTGATAGCGCGGCGCCTTTACCCCTAGACACCTTACTATAATGGCATTTCAATCCAAAAATACCTG